AGAAAAGAGAGTCATTTCTGGAGCTGAAGCAGAGTCATTTTCTTACTCTGAGAAAAATACTTCAAATATTTCTATACATATATATATTTATATTATATTATTTAGGCCTTGTATAAACATATGTGTGTGTGTGTGTGTATGTGTGTATATATATATATACTTATACCCACAGGTTCCATTCTTAAATGTTAAATTGACTTTTTGTATAAACTGAAACAGTGTATGCACAAAACCCATTAAAGAAACGCTTCTAGTTACTCATATACTCAGTCCCTGTGGCTGCCTCTGCAGTCCATTGTATGCTCTCCTCCTCTCTCTAGTCACACTGTGCCTGGATAGTCACAAACTTCCTGTCAGCAAGACTGATTGTTTGAATCCAGTGGATACAGCTCTTGGGCCTTTTTCAGCAGGTTTCTGTAAGGTTTTAATAAGATAGCTTTGTGGAATTGAACTATGAATAGTATGGAAGCTTCCTGTAAACAATATTGTGTTCATACAACATCCAAATCATGTCTTCTTGTACTACACAGACCATGTGGTGTATTTTGAGTGTTGCATACAAATACTTGGGCGCGTGTACACGTGTGTGTGTGTGTGTGTGTGTGTGTGTGTGTGTGTGTGTGTAGTGTGTGTGTATATAAAACGATATATATTAAGGATTTGCTCATGTGGAGGCTGGCAGTTTTAAGATTGTAGGGCAGGCCAGTAGGCCTGAAACAAACAAGACTTCTATGTTACAGTCTCGAACCAGAATTTCTTCTGTAGGAAACCTCATGTTTTATTCTTAAAGCCTTCAACTGACTAGGTGAAGCCTACCCACATTATTGGAGGGTAAATAATCATCCTGATCAAATAATTAAATAAATATCATTAGAGTCAACATAATTTAACTGGTAACCACTTCTATAAAATACCTTTATATAAATATATACCACAGGGAGCTTTGATGGCCTGAGCCATACAGTGTTGTACTGCTAGCCAAAACCTTGTCTCTAATGGTTTGAATCCATCAGCTGCAAGTTGGGAGAAAACGGAGTAGTTTTCTCTGGATTATATTTACAGCCTTGGGGACCTGGTGGGGGCTCCCTGTCAATTGTAACTGACTGAGTGGCAGTGAGTTGTGTTTTTTTCAGTGTTTAGAGTCTAGTTAACACATAAAAAGAAATGCACGTAAAATTTAAATTGCTTACTTATTGTTTGATATATTGGTTGAATTTACTGTATTAGGAGTATTCCCCAAATTTCTCTATAACTTTTTTTTAAAAAGGTATTTGAATTTTATTTGATGCTGAATCATTTTCACCTGAGCCGTAAGTTTTTGTTTTTTTTCTCTTTCTTCTGTGAGATCTTTTTCTTCTGGGCAACCTCCTCTTCTGGTTTAGGAACAGTCTGTTTCTTTTCAGTAAGGATCATCTCAAAATGACAAGGGGAGCTTATAGAGGGGTTAATTTATGCGATGTTGCATCTTGGGAGTTTTGTTCACCTGGATGGGCTCAATGACCATAGAACGGACATCTAAACCCTCAAGTTCAGCATTACTCTTGGCATTTTTAAGTATTTGCAGCAAACGCTCAGCACTCTTTTTGGGCCACCAACCCTGTGTCCAGTCCCACTGTTTGGCCTGGGCACACCTACCAGCTCCACTATTGTAATGTTGTAATGGAACACACCGCTTTTGCAAAGTGACATCTTTCAGATACTTGGTGGCTTTCTGAATCTGCATACCCTTAGTGGCCTAGGCAGCTTCCTGGGTGTTCTTAAAATAGACCCAGAGATTTGAGCCTCTTTTTTTTATATATTATTATTAAATTTTATTAGTTTCAATGAACATTCACAGGGATTCTGGGCTTTCACTCCTTCATTGCCGCACCATTCTCTCCACCCTCCTCCCCAGTTTGTTCTTCTTCCCCGCCATCCGAATGTCTGTTTTAATTGTCCAATTGCCACAGTGCTTGTCAAAGTCAGTTCTGATTAATCTCCTTTGTCGGTGTGTCCTTTGCCATTCCCTATCACTCCTCCCTGAGAGAGACTTCACCCTGATTCATAAGGAAAAGGGGATGGCGTATTCTCTTAGCTACTTCCTGCTGAAAAGGGACGCTGTGGGTTTCAGGGTGAAGATCTTCTCTCACTACTCTGAAGGGCCCCTTTGGCAGTAGGAAACACATAGACTATTATGGAGATTGA